AATTCAAGATGATCACGAGAGGAAATGCTCGATAAATTAGAAAAAAAACTCATTACACATTAGAAAAAAAACTCATTACACAGAGAGTGTGGAAAGAGGAATTCTCTGCCATAATCTGGGGAGTGGGCAGGAAAGTAGGCTCAAATTAGGTGGCACATGTAAAGAAAAACTCTATGGTTACAGGGTGATCAGGGATGGGAACTGAATTTTCCCAGCTACGTGGTATATAGGAAAGATAGGCGATGTGGTAAACGAGGAGGGGGAGTGGCCCTGCTAATAAAGGATGGGATAAAAACAGTAGAGAGCAAAGATTTTAAATCTGAAAAGCAAGATATAGAGTCAGTATGGGTAGAGATACGTAACTTCAAGGGGCAGAAAACTATAGTGGGAGTAGTTTATAGACCCCCAAACAGTGGTCAAAGTATCACTCAAGGTATAAATCAAGAGATTAGTGGAGCACGTAGCAAAGGAAAGACAATTGTGGGTGATTTTAACCTGTACATAGACTGGGACAACCAAATTGGGAAAAGTAACATAGAAGAGGAGCTTATAGAATGTATTAGAGATAATTTTCTAGATCAATATGCTGAGGAGCCGACCAGGGAACAAGCCATATTAGACCTTGTTTTGTGTAATGAAACAGGGCTGATCAGCAAACTGGAACTTAAGGCTCCTCTCGGGCAAAGCGATCATAATATGATGGAATGTAGCGTTAAGTTAGAGAGGGAAGTAGTTAAGTCTGAAACAAAAGTCTTCAATTTAAATCGAGCCAACTTTGCTGGTATGAGAGAGGATTTAGCCAGAATAAACTGGGAGACTAAACTTAGATTTGACAGTAGACCAACAATGGCAGACATTCAAGGAGATAGTGCAAAATTCCCAACGAGCACATATCCCTTTGAGGAATAAGAATGCCATGGGAAAGGTGGTGCAGCCGAGGCTAAATAGAGCAGTTAGGGAAAGTATCAAATCATAAGAAAAAGCCTATAAAAAGACACTGAGGATTGGGAGAACTTTAGGGAACAACAGAGGAGGACCAAAAAATTGATCAAGAGGGAGAAAATAGATTACGAGGGCAAACTGGCAAAGAACATAAAAACAGACTCCAAGAGTTTTTACAAATATATAAAGAGGAAAAGGCGAGCGAGGGTGAATGTGGGTCCATTACAGGCAGAGACCGGAGGAATTATAATAGGGGACAAAGACATGGCAGAGTCATTAAACAAGTATTTTTCTACAGTCTTCACCGTAGAAGACACTGGAAACATACCAAAAATACAGGACCAAGAAGACAATGTTAACGAGCAACTTAGGGAGATTAACATTAGTAAAGAGATGGTTCTAGGTAAATTGTCGGGTCTTAAAACCGATAAATCCCCTGGACCGGATGGCCTGCATCCGAGAGTTTTAAAGGAGGTGGCTACTGAGATAGTGGATGGCATGTCTATAATCTTCCAAAAGTCTCTGGATACTGGAAAAGTTCCCACTGATTGGAAGATTGCAAACGTAACTCCACTATTTATAGACCATAAAAAGATTAGGCAGAGTCAACATGGCTTTACAAAAGGGAAGTCATGCTTGACTAACCTTTTAGAATTTTTTGAGGATGTATCCAGCAGGTTGGATAAGGGGGAACCAGTAGATGTGGGATATTTGGATTTTACGAAGGCACTTGACAAGGTGCCACACAAAAGGCTGTTACTCAAGATCAAGGCCCACGGGATTAATGGGAAAATATTAACATGGATAGAAGAGTGGCTATTGGGTAGAAAGCAGAGAATAGTGATAAACGGATCATTCTCGAATTGGCAGGAGATGTAACTAGTGGAGTGCCATAAGGATCAGTGCTTGGGCCTCAGCTATTTACCATTTACATCAATGATCTGGACGAGGACATTGAATGTAATGTGTCTAAATTCGCGGATGATACTAAACTCGGCGGCAGAGTGAGCTCTCAGGATGATGCAAAAAGATTGCAACAAGACATAGATAGGCGCGGGGAGTGGGCAAGTAGGTGGCAGATGGAATTCAATGTTAGCAAGTGTGAAATTATTCACCTCGGTAGCAAGAATAAAAGAACAGATTATTTTCTGGAAGGGGAGAAGTTAGATAGTGTTAGTATTCAAGGGGATTTGGGTGTCCTTGTACACCAGTCCCAAAAAGTTAGTTTGCAGGTGCAGCAGCAACTTAGAAGGTGAACGTCATGTTAGCGTTCATTTCAAAAGGTTTAGAATATAAGAGTAGGGAAGTCTTGCTGCAACTGTATAGGGCTTTGGTGAGACCGCACCGAGAGTATTGTGTGCAGTTCTGGTCTCCTTATTTAAAAAAGGACATACTTGCCCTCGAGGGGGTGCAGCATAGATTCACTCGGTTAGTTCCTGGGATGAGGGGACTGACCTATGAGGATAGGCTGAAGAAACTGGGGCTGTACTCTCTATAGTACAGAAGAATTAGGAGAGATCTTATTGAAACTTATAAGATTCTTAAAGGGCTGATAAAGTAGTCACAGAGGGACTGTTTCCCCTGGAAGGAGAATCTATAACCAGGGGTCACAGGGTCAGCCTCTTAGAACAGAGTTGAGGAAACATTTCTTCACTCAGAGGGTAGTGAACTTATGGAATTCACTACCCCAGAAGGCTGTAGATGCTCAGTCCTTGAACATTTTCAAGGCTGAGACTGATAGATTCTTGAAAAATAGAGGGATTAGGGGATATGGCAGGTAATTAGAGTTAGGTGAGAAGATCAGCCATGATCTTATTGAATGGCGGAGCAGGCACGAAGGGCCGAATGGCCTACTCCTGCTCCTAATTCTTATGTTCTTATGTTCTTATGAACGTATTGTTCATGTGCTATAACATTCTATAACATTATGGCCTTAGCCCATAATGGTGGGTTCAGTGTGTTTTGTGCGTGCACAATGCTGCGTGTGTTTCAAATCAAGTGAAAATTCCACAAAGTGCAAAGTCAGATTTGACAAATGAGTGTGCCTGTTGGTGCCAAAGTATTAAGTGTTTTGTGCTGATGTCAGAGGATTACTGGCCGATAAATCCAATTACACAGTCAGGAGTTGGATGCTGGGAAACAGTAATGTGTCCACAAATTTGCATGGAAGAAATTGGATTAAACAACTATTTATATTTTCAGAACTAATGTTAATCGCCATGTACTTACAATCCCTGTATTTACAAGTATTCATTTTGCAAGGGTTCATCTGCACAATGTTACAAGAATAACACATGATCTTCTACTGAGAATACACGCCCAAGAGAAGGTTGCCAAACATGTTCAGTTTGACAAAGCAAAGACGTAGGTGGTGTGCAATGATGTTTCATAATTTTTAAATAGCCCTGAGCAACAATACTTCGCAGATCAAACAAAAATTTGAATCCAACCGATAAATGTGGTCAAACAATAACGATTGAAACAGTCACTCAGGAATTTTGCAAAGGGTCATTTCAGTTAGGGGCAATCATTAAAAGATCATATACCCCTTTACTACAGACACAGCTCTTAATTCAAATAATCTGCAGTTGTCTGCATCTTATCCCCTGTGGACAAGGGCTGTCACCAAATGCCCAAACACTCGGCTAGTCAAGAATAGCGACAGCAGCCAGCTCTAATTTTCAATTCTTTAGACACACACGTACGTTTGTAAGGCAGGCCCTGCCTTCATATTTAAAAGGGCTGCAGGCATAACTAATGACTGTCAGTTGCACGCAAAACAGAAGGGACAAATGAGTCATAGGGACAAGCAGGTAAGTCAATCTAAGGTGATATACACAACCATCTTCTCTATGCAAGTCCCTGGTATCAAACAAGTTCAGCAAAGAACTGAACATTCAACTTCAATGCATTGCAGTCTGCAACATCCCCATTCATTCACAATGAAGAGCTATTATAGCACAGCTAGGTCATAACACGCTTCTTCATTGCACAAACTCAGGTACAACAGTTGTGTTGTGGACGTCTTTCCCACGCGCCTGCTGACTTTCGTGCTAAAATGCCTAACTTCCGGTAATTAAGTTGCTGCTGTTACTTCCTGCTTCACAGCAAAAAGGAAGTGAAGTGAGCGGTGACCTGGAGATCCGGAAGTCAGCTGTTTTCTTCTAGGGAAGTCGGCCAGCTACGTGCATGATAACTGGCAATCAGGTTCGTTATAGTGTTCAAAATGGCAAGTAGCTGGTTAAACTCCAGCACTCACTGGGGTCTGCAAGCCTCGAGTCTTCCTAACCAGAAATCTGATGCAAAAACAGAGATTGCTCGGAAAACTCAGCAGGTCAGGCAACATCTATAGAGAGAGGAAATTGAGTTAACGTTTCAGGTCGATGGCCTTAGGTCATCGACCTGAAATGTTAACTCACTTTCCTATCTCAATAGATGCTGCCTGACCTACTGCGTGTTCCCAGCGACCTTTGGCCATCGACCTTAAACATTAACTAATTTTCCTCTCTCCATAGATGCTGCCTGACCTGCTGAGTGTTTCCAGTAATCTCTGTTTCTGAATAATAATAATTTGGGTTTAAGGTGCCTGAAATAAACATGCCACAATAGAAAGCAGGGAAGGTGAAAAGGACATTTGGCCCCTCAAGCCCGCTCCCTCCTCAGATCCCACAAAGCCAGCCCCACTGGGGAATCCAATACTCATTCTTTCTCCAGTTCTGCACAGATACTCTGATCCTCAAAGGCAATCAAGCACAAACTCTAAAATATTCAGACTCCCTATATCTCGTTCGCCTACATAATTCAGTTACCACACTTTACAGTATATTCTACGAAGCAATTTGGAATGCTTCCTGATATCATATGGAAGGATTATTATTTATTATCTCCACTGTTCAATCTTCCTTTCACAGACCACATTCAAACCATTGAGCTCTGTCGTGCTTGCACCAATCCCTATATTCTACAATACTGTTCCCTACCAGTGCTTGTATTACATCTGTCAAATCTGAAGTGAATGAATCTGTAATAATGATGGTGACGTTGTGGAAAGGTCTTACCTCGCTATCTGATTTACAAATGGTTTCATCTCCTGAGGTTCATAAGCACGAGCAAAGGCCCAGCAGACGTAGCAGGCTGCATCCCGGACATTGGATCCCACGCTGCAAGCTCCACGTTTCTCATCAAAAGTCAAAGCTTTGAGGATCGGAGGTACAACTGGTGGTACGAAGAAAATGAAAACATAATTATGTCCCATTTAAAAGCAAATTTTGAATTTTGAATTTATAGTGTATTTATAATAATCGTTGCATTTGATATAGTATCTTTCATGTGGGGGGGTTGTGGGGGGTCTAAATTACTTCACAGTGTCTGTATATTTTTGTAAATGCAGTCAATTTGCAAAAAGCTATATCCTACTGATGGCCATGGAGTGAGTGGCAATTGTATTTGTGGAATTGTTGGCCAGATCAACAAGGGAAAACTCCCTTCTCTTTTTGAATAGTACCATGGGATCTTTAATGTCCACCTGAAAACCAGCCAGGTCTTCAGTTTAACATCTAATGAGAAAGACGGCAGTTCAAACAATGCAGCAAACTTCCAGCACTGTATTGAAGGGTCGGCCTAGACTGTGAGTTCAAGTCCTGACATGGGGTTTGAACCCACAACCTTGATTCAGGAGGCAAGAATGTTACCAACTGGGCCAGGCTGACAACTATAAGGCATCTTAAATAACTTTCCAAATCATCTACGTAGAATGCCTTTGTAATTTGCCTAACAAATTGCATAACAAAATAATGAAAGGTTGTTTGTACCCAATCAAAAGATTTCTGGTCCACATCCGTTGTGAAATGCACACATTAGCTATTTTAATTGGTTACGCATACACTTGTGCAAAATAAAACAGAATGGGGAGAAAAATTCAAAGACTGGGAGGGTTTGGGATCCTGAATTTGATCAATGTCAAAATGGCAATATTTTTGACCAATATTTGAACTCAACTGAGGTTACTGCCAAATGTACGACACAATGGGTCAACGTTAGCAAAATATTCAATCGTTATAACATCAATTGGCCCTGGATGTACTGAAAGCATCCTGTCTATGTACCCATGAACCCTATCGCTTTACCCCCTCCTCCCACTCTCAAAGGCGACATCTGTAAATAATAATAATCCTTGCATTTGATATAGCGCTTTTCACGTCGGGAGGATGTCCCAAAGCGCTTCATAGAACACACTGTAAAGTGAATTGACTGCATATTTGTGGGCGAACGCGGCAGCCAATTGCGTACAGCAGTGTCCCACAAACAGTCGTAGATTGAAAATGACCAATTTATTATTGTTTTTGGTTTTGGAGGGATTATTATTATTAGGCGTATAAAGGTAGGGCTTCCAGCTGGAGACTGATTATTGGGTTGCCACCAAGCTAACAAGCCGGTGAATATCACAATCTACCATTCCAATTCTAAGATCAGCTTCACGAATGTCGCCTTTGAGAGCAGTGATGAGGGTATTTTTGCAGGTATAAGAAATATCCATTGTATCATTACATTTACTGCAATGTGAGTTATAACTATAAATAATAATCCTTGCATTTGATATAGCGCTTTTCACGTCTTCTCGATGTCTCATAGCGCTTCATAGAATAGACTGTAAAGTGAATTGACCGTATATTTGTGGGCGAATCACTCCTATTATCATTCATCAATATCCAGTTATCATTCCTCCTCTGTTTGCCATCAACAGAGAGAAAAAAAATACTGCTTAGATATAACCAACTGAATACAGATTATTTTGTGCTTATTATGGCTAAGCATATAAACACTGACACACATAATTAAGAGAAAGCATTGTTTGAAAGCAGCATGTCACTCACGAGGTCATATGGTGTAAAATGTTTGGAGATAGTGCTCAAGGTTAGTGTTCATTGATGACCAGATTCTAACCCCCCCCCCCCCCCCCAACCCCCACTCCACAAAGATTTGTATAATTGCAGCAGATCAGTCTATCGTTTTAACTGGATCCATTTACATCTTCCAAGACAGAAGTAGAAAAATATTTGTTAGGTCAGGGTATTAAAGGGATATGGAGAAAGGGCGGGTGACTGGACTTGAGGCACAGCAGCAATGATCTTATAAAACAACAAGATTACATTTGTATAGCGCCTTTCACGTCCAGAGGACGTGAAATAATAAGCACAAAATAATCTCTATTCAGTTGGTCTATATCTAAAATGGTGGAACAGGTTCGAGGGGCTGAATAGCCAACTCCTGTTTCTATCCCATGAACAGCCATCCCTCCCCTCTCCTCAAAACAGTACCCGTTGCTTTCGTTCCTCCAGGTCTGGCCTCCTCCTCGTCCCCCGAATCCTCCGCTCCACCCTCGGCGGCTATGCCTTCAGTCTCTACGCCCCAAGGCTCTGAAACTGCCTTCCTCACTCCTTTCCTTCCCATTTTCAGGTCTCTGCTGAAGACCTTTCTTTTTGACCGCACCTTTGGTCACCTTCCTCCCCCTCCCCATGGCTCAGTCCCGGGATCCGTTACTGTAAAGCATTCTGAGACGCCGTCCGGCGTGGAGGGCGCTATATAAATCCAAGTTGTTGTTGTGTTAATCACTTGCCAAAAGACTACAAATGACTCGTGGAGCTCTTGACATTCTCTGTTAACAGGAGGAACATATCGATGTATAGAAAATGTTATTTTCTTAAGACTACACAGAGCAAGAAAGCAACAGTGGAAACTAGTGTAGTGCAATCTTCTATTGAACCAATGTAGCAGTTTACTGACATCAGAAAGTGGTGGTTATCTTTTAAGAGTAATATTTTTCAATCATTCCATTACATTTCAGTATCCCTTAGGTGGAAATATTTATCCCTTAGGTGGAGTTCTGTAGCTCAGTGATTAGAGCACTCGCCTTGCAAGCGAGACACCTGGGTTTAATTCCAGGACGAAACCGTGGACAAGTTTCCTTACTCCACACACCCAATAATAATCCCTCTAAAATAAAAAACAATAATAAATTGGTCATTTTTAATCCACGACTGTTTGTGGGACACTGCTGTGCGTAATTGGCTGCTGTGTTTCGTCCACAAACATACAGTCAATTCACTTTAGAGTCTATTCTGTAAAGCGCTTTGAGCTGTCGAGAAGACGTGAAAAGCGCTATATCAAATGCAAGGATTATTATTATATTATTATTTATTTTCACCTGTCGGCTAAACATCAAGGTAAAGAATATTCCAATATAGTTCTTAGAAAGTGGTACAATAAAAGATTATTCCAATATCATTAAAGTCTGATAATGAAATTACCAATCATTTGCATTTTTTTTCCTTCCAACACTCTCTTGGAAAGAAAATAGAGCATTAAAGTCTGTGCCTGGCCTATTCATCTGTTGTCTTTGGGCAGACAATCAATTGGAATTAAAAGTCTTAAGGCTTACATTAATAGAGTGCCAAATACCCGTGAAGTCCTCTCATCCTGACATTTGGCAACCATGAACCAAACCAGGATAAAGGGAATGTTAACTTATTTTCTTAGGTATAGTCTCCCTCATTGTTTCAAAGTAATACAACAGACTGATAAAGTAAATAAACCACCGTCTAAATAAGGCAAAACCTACTAAGACACTGGCCCTTTAGTTTGGCCTATTGGTCCAGTGTACGCAAGTCTCACTCTCAAACTACTTGGAAAATAGTGAGAGGCTATTCTATTACCTAAGGCTGTTTCTCAGATCTCTAACAAGTTTAATAAACCTGACTGGTGTCTCAGGAGTGAAGTGCCGCGAATGTTGCAAAACTCCTATGAGGTCAGATAATTGAGCATCTGATGCAACGTTCAAGAAACGTATGTAAATCAAGCCATGCTCCCTTTTGTTCAGGTATCTGGGCAAATTACGTTAACTCCTTTAGGTGTGCCACTATTAAACAGTCAGCTATTGCGCGTTTTGAAAACAAGAAGGAAGTTAGTTTCAAAACATACAAAGAAAAACCTATCCAGCTTTTTAAAAAATGTTTATAACTTGAAGATCTAGAGAACAGTTGGGTTGTGAAATAACGCAATTCTCCCCTCCTCTCTTGAATCTCGCTCGAGCTTTTGCAGTCCTCTATATGTCTCTGTAGTGTGTCCAGCAGACATGATGGGTTGAACGGCATAATAATAATTTGGTCACTCAATCCACGACTGTTTAAATAGTTTTTAATGTGGGATCAACAAGAGCAGAGTTGAGATCTTTTTATGAGGGAGAGCTACAGGACCCTGTTCAGGGAGCCACGACTTGAAAGGTTACATTCAGCAAAGCTCTAAAAAGAATGTGTATACCTACGTGTTGAATAAAATAATTAGGAAATACATTAAAGCTGAGTTGAGTAAATGTATGACAATGTTTGTGACTCACTGCATTATATAAAACAACCTCCCTACAACATGGACAACTAAAAAGTGTTTTCCTAGAAACAAGGTATTTAAACATGTGGTGTTTTTGTTCTGGTTAGTTTACGCGCAAGGTGCATAGAACCAATATAACATTCCCAGCCAATCTACTTTTGTTATGCCCTCAAGCCATGAAGCCACCTGTCAAAGCCTGCCCTGCCTTATCTAACAATTTAACTGCTGGGGGTGATACCTTATGTACTTTTAACTGTAGATATTCCTTCCAGTTGAAGAGTCGTTTTTTGAATATTTCCCCACGTAAATTAAGTACTTGTTTTTTCATTATAAATCATTAACTTGATATTAAAAGGAACCAAATTGAGTGGATTTTTGGTATAGTGTGTTGAAGTGCCAAAATATATCGCCACAACAGTGAGGGCTATTATATGTACCTTCTCATTTCCATTTTGCATTAGCAAAAGCTTGGTTGTTGGGGACCAACCTACCCACTATGATGCAGTCAACCCACAGACATTGAAGAAATATCAAGGGAACTAACCTAACTTAAAAAAAAATCCTTGCGCATTAGAAGCTTCAAATTCACTTCTTGCCTTGTAATTCAAGCCAAACAAGTACGCCTATGATCACACAAATCTATGTGACTAGGCGTGGAATAAAGAAAATAATCCGAAATACCATGAGTTGAAGGTAAGATCTGGAAGCTAAGTGACTGATTTAAAAGCTTTGGCTTTCTTCCAATTTCAAAGCTCTCCACCTCTACATTAGCTACTGTCGTCATCCAGTGAAACGGGGTTTGACAACTTTTACAGCTTCCATCTAAAATCATC